TACATACATATGTATTTATTAAATTCACTAGAAAATTATTGCAAGAATAACAGAGTAGCAGAGCAACTTTCCCGGTTGAAAAGCCAGAAAATCAAATGATTTTGAGTTTTCTGTTTATACAATTGGAAAACACACAATCGGTCATACATATGTCGATACGTAAAGTATGAGTATGAATTTGTGGCTGATAGACATATGTATGTACATATATGTACATACATACATTCGCATTTGCTTATAGAAAGTAGCCATTGACGAATAAGCCAATTCCAACCAAATACGCAACTTTCGCATGGTGGGTGTAGTGGTGGGGTTGTTTTTGTTAGCAGCAACTCAAGCAGTTATTACCGCCATGGAAACAAGCAGCCATCTAATCCAAGCACCTCTAAAATTTGTTGCAGTCAGTGAGTGCTTCTGTTTTCTATCCAAATGCATAACGGTTTATCACTTAATGGCCCCATTTTCTCTGACTACCCTTTGCCATCACAGGCACACGCGCTCGCACGCGCACGCACACACACGCACAGGCAATGGAGCCACAGACGTTGAACTCTTTGGTTTTTCGTCTAAGCAATTTGGTGAACATCGAACAGCGCCACAATGGCCATTTCATTGTTTGTAGAATATTGCTTTGTTTACATTTTCTTAACTAAAAATAGTTTAGTTTTCTAAACATTCATGTTGGCGTTAGAAATGGCTACACTACACTAAAGAAGACACAGAGCATTTAGAGAAAAAAAAGACATCTGCATTTGTTGAGGCTTCAACGGGAGCGGATGGTAAATTAGCTGAAAATAATTGGTTTTGTACAGTTTTTTAGTGGAATGATTTTTTGAATTAAGGATCCATGATTTGGTATGTATGTAAGTATGTATGCACAATTATATAAAAGTACATAATCCTTAATAAGGTCTCACATCGTCGCTGAAATACAAAGAACCGTAACTAAGTAAAAATCTGAAATTCCCTTTTTGGTTTATTATGATGCATTTCAAATAGAAAAATAACAGTGCCAAAAATGGTGCCATCCCTTTTAATCCTTCCCATTTAGCAGCAAAATAAGAACCACATTTCTAAAACAAACGTGCAATGCCAAAATAAAATAAACCAGTTGAATAATCTTTAAAAATTAGAAAATTTTTGGTTGAGAAAAAGAAGTACACGCGAAGGATTTTACAAAAATTTATTGAAATATTACTATTTTTGAAAAGTTCCATTTTGGAACTAAGTGCCAAATTGAAAAATTTAGTGCCATTTGATGTTTACAGAAATGGCACGGTTTGAGCCAAGTTGGCAGCCCTGATTATAAGTCCCCACATAATTTTAAGCAATATATATATATATTATTCTGAAACAAGGCGCTTATTCCCAGCGGTCTACGAGTCGTACAGAGACAAATTATATATCAAAATTAAGTGCTCGAAACTTTGCATAAACTTTTTAGATTTAAGATTCATTCATTCATTCATGAAATTCAATTTTAAAATGTAAAACTGAATCTCATACACGCATTCTCATTTTCACCAATTTTGAAAAATTTCATTTCTTTATTTTCAATTTTGTATGGTTTTAAATGCTGAAAGCTTAAAAAATCGTGGCGGGCGAACTGAGGGAAGCGTAAAGTATTTTAATCTCTCGATAAATATGCATTTCAGAGAACCTGGTTATTTCAATTTTCTCTGGCGGGTTACAGAAGGGCGAGAACTCTCCCTACTGCAAGATTTAGCCGATTGGGTATTTGCACCTCAGCCTGGAGTAATTAATCGAAACCACTTGAAGGATCGATCCCTTTTTGCGTCCACAAAATAAGCATTATCCGATAGCTAATAAAGAAATGGTTAATATGTTGTCCGCAGTAGAAATGGCGTCGATGTCTTCTGTCGTTTCTGAATATCCAAAGGAGCAAGTTAAAGTAGGGGAGTTGCATCTCATGACTTGATACTAAAAGCTAGATGTATATATGTGTGGACATAAGGGTTTGTGTAGACATAGGATTGCTTTATACCAAAAAACTGTATACATATTTTCATTAGGGTGGTCCAAAGAGACACGTGGAAAAGTAAAGTCGGAATTTTAATGCTGTCACCCCATAGGATAGTTCTATGCCGAAAAATGATACCCCGTTTTAACCGACTTCACAAAAAGGAGAAGATTATCAATTCGTCGGAATATTTTTTTTTTTTTATTTACATATTTTTTTTAAGTATGCTCCGCATAACCTTGGACCACTTTAACCGATTTCTATAATTATATAAATATAAATTTTAATATTAATATAATATTAATTTTCATGAAATCTATACCATTTCTACGAAAACTTGTTTTTTCTCATATAAAATATGTACCTATATGGAAAACTTTGAGCGCTTTGGCGACCTCTGAATATTTTTCAGTTTCAACATAAAAAAAGGGATTTAATATTGGCGTGGATGAATTTTAGCTGCAGCTGATTTGCCGCTATT